TATCTCTCATGGTTATGTGAGGAAACACAGACTACAAATGAAACCTGCTCTGGTAATGTATCCATGGCATCATCATCACTTAATGCCTCTATCAAAGGACAGTGTACAGTGGACTTAAGCCTACTAGGTGAGTGGTATCCAAATGTAAAACTTTCAGTCCTACCCAACCTCTACTCAGATAATTACTCTTGGCCAAGATTTCATATCACAACATTCCACCATATCTTTTGCATTCAGTGGCTCTAAGAAAGATCTTGTAATCTCTTATCCAATCTCCTGTAGCATACCCTCTGCATTAGTGGACACACCATCTTTATTCTCCAACATTGATCCAGACTGTAAACCTATTACAACTAAATCTAAAAGATTTGTAGAGCGTGACAGACATTTTATACAGACCGAGATTGAGAAAATGATCCAGGAGGGTGTAATTAAGGAAAGTACATCCCCTTTGAGAGCTCAAGTCTTAATAGTAACAAATGAGTGTCAAAGAAAGAGACTTGTAGTCGATTACAGTAGGACAATTAATAGATTTACCAGATTAGATGATTATCCATTATCAAGAATGGATGATCTGGCTCAAGAAATAGCAAAATATAAAATTTACAGCTCATTGAATCTGAAGAGTGCATATTACCAGATACCAATAAAAAAAGAAGATAAGCCCTACACGGCATTCAAAACTAATGGTAAACTTTACCAACTTTGTAGAATTCCTTTTGGAGTGACTAATGGTGTTGCATATTTCCAAAGGATAATGGATAAGATTATTAAGGAAAATATTTTAATGGGTGTATATGCCTATGTAGACAATATTGTCGTAGTTGGGAAAAATCAGCAAGAACATGACAAGAACTTGGAAAAATTTAAAAAGATTGCTACACAGTATAACCTCACACTCAATGAAGATAAATCTGTTTTCTCTAAATTATCCATTGATTTTCTTGGCTACAACATATCACATGGCCTACTTAGACCTGATGCAGAACATCTACGATCATTAAGAGAAATACCTGTTCCTCAGAACAAAACCAGTGTGCGGAGTGTTTGGATTATTCTCTTACTACTCTCAGTGGATACCCAAGTTCTGACAAAATTAAACACTTAATAACAGCTGATTCTGATACTGCTATTGTGGCCACTCTGAATGAAGCAAACCATCTAGTGGCACTCTTTTCACATATACTAACAACTACAGAACAAAAACATTCTTCTGTAGAAAAGAGGCTTGTGCAATAGTTGAATGTCAAAAAGTGGTCACATTATTTATCAGCACGGCATTTTGTGATAGGCACAGATCAGCAAGCTGTTAATTTCATGTTTGATGCAAGAAGGCATGGGAAGATCAAGAAGAGCAAGATTGAATGATGGAGAATGGAAATGGGATATTATGAGTATAACATCATGTACCAACCATGAAAAAACAATATCCCAGCTGATACGCTTTCACGCGTCCAGTGCAATGCACTCACCAACATAGGAAAACTACAAGAAATACACAAAAATCTTTGTCATCCTGGTATAACCAAGTTGGCTCATTTTGTTAAAGTAAGAAATCTTCCATACTCTATTCAAGATGTTAAAAGAGTGTGCACAGTACTTGCAGTGTGTGCTAGATGGAAACCATGCTTCTATACACCAGAAGCAGGACACCTGGTCAAAGCAACACAACCAATGAAATGACTCAGTATTGACTTTAAGACTTCGAAAAACCACTACTTACTTACAGTGATAGATGAGTGCTCAGGTTTCCCTTTTGCCTTTGCATGTACAAGCACAAATACAGACTCAATAATAGAAAGTCTAAATCAGATATTTACAGTATTTGGCATGCCCTTTTACATCCATTCAGATAGAGGAGCATCATTTGCATCAAGGGAATTACGTGAATATTTCACCAATCTTGGAATCGCTACCAGCTGGATATCGCCTTTTCACCCTCAAGGAAATGGTCAGTGTGAACAGTATAATGGAATTATCTGAAAGCACATCTCATTGGCCTTAGCCTCAAGAAATCTTAAAGAATCACAATGGGAAACAGTACTGCTTGAAGTATTACACTCCATAAGATCTCTCCCTTGTACTGCTACTAATGCCACACCATATGAAAGACTCTTTTCATACCAACAGCAAACTCCCAGCAGCCATTCCTTACCTACTTGATTATCTATGCCAGGACATGTTCTTTTGCGTCACCATGACTGAGACAATAAGCATGAACCATTGGTTGATAAAATACTATTACTAGAAGCAAACCCACAATATGCTCACATAAGATTCACCAATGGACATGAATCTACAGTATCTGTAAGTGACATAGCACAAGCAAGGAATTCATTACAAAGTGGGAAGACATAGATGATAACCTCCAGAAAGATTTAGATGATTCTACATCCACTAATGAAAACAATTCAGATGAAAAACTTGAAGTAGATAGTAACAATTTACAAACTATCACTAACCCAGAGATTAGAACTTCTTCTCCAAGTGATCTAAAGACTACTCCCCCTCATGTAATGTCAAGAAATCCTAAGATACCCAGACAATTCCAACAGGAAATTCTTAAACCAAAGAGATATCAAGCACTGTAAATAAATAAATAAGAAGGAGGGGAGGAGGTACTATACTTATCTGCCCTTGGTGTTTTTGTTATGGTAGTTACCTCCTTTACTAGCATTCTTCAGTTGACGAATTGCTTAGTCAGGGAATGTTTCATTAAATAAATCCTTCTTAAGGAATTCCAGTCTTGTCAGCTCATTTCAAGCACATAGTGGCTTCATGTCTTCCTTAAACGTCACTAGTACAAAGTGAACATAAACAGCAAATTCCATTACACCACCCTACAACCATAAAGCTAATAGTAAAGTCAACATTAAATGATTAAATTTTTCATAGATGGAAGTAAGTACACCAAAAATTTACTAAAAAATGATACATGATGAAAAATAAATGTCCAAAACATTAAAATAAAATTTAATTGTCAAAATCTTTGTCATTATTAAGAGGAAAGATTAAAGGATTTTTGATATAAAAATAACTTATTGTTTATAAAACCCTGGAAATGTAGGTTAAAATATCTTTCTTTTTTTTGTGTGTGTTAAATCAGGGCCTTAAATTTTTACAGGAAAGAGTGTTTCTTATGGTGAAAAGCACATTGATTTGAAAATTCTTTCAAAAATGTAACTGTCAGATTTTCATGAAACATTTAAGACTTATTCAGAAATCTGTGCAATTAGCTTTGAAAGATTTCTTTTTTAGAAAAATCTTTGTAAAAATTTTTTCTTTTAATCTATTACCCTCCACTCATGTAATTTTTATGAAATTTTGAGAAATTCTTTTTTGTATTGCAAAATGTTTTTATTTGTTATAAGGACAAGTTCTCAGAGAATTTAGATCAAACTCTTTGATGGAACAGTACCCCCAGTTGCAGAAAATCTGCCTGGAATCATAAAATAAAAATGCAATAAAATATTTTTTTTTAATTAGAAAAGTTTTTAATTACTTTTATGTATAAAACATATTATGGATAGAATCGTCAATGTTTGTCTACTCACCCCCGTTAAAAATAGACTCTTCTATAAGAATTAGCTTTGACCAATCAACACCACACATTGTGAAACTCAGTTTGTTATTGGTCGAGACGACCCTAGAATGTGTATCCATGGTCAAAAATCTGTTTTCCCACCAGGCCACTGGGAGCCTACTTTGGTTTCCCAAACTAAATAAAAGGACGAATTTCAGTCCAATTCACCAGTCAGACCTCTTCACCTAGAGAGAAGCCCATCAACTCCATGCCAGTCAAAACTCAGACTTTGCCGCGCAAAAAATATTCTCTGACTCAACAATCCACAAAAACACTATCTCTCTCTAGAACAATTTCTCAAACTTCACTTGCTATACTTTAAAAGTGATATTTCTCACTACATAACAAGTATCAGAAACTAACAATTTATTTTTTTCTCAAGCAGATAAAGGTACGCAACTCTGAACAACTTTGAATATTTGTATAAACACACTTACGTACATACACTAACTATTCAACCTCAACACCGAACATTTTTGTACGCACCCAAACATTCACAACAACACAATACACAATTAAATACCCTAACCTCATTTATCCATCAAATCTTAAACCCACTGTATTTAAATTGTATATAAATTGATGTTATTGTTATGCATTCAACTTTTGTCTTGTTTTCAACTTTATTTGCATGATTTGTTCCAAGTATTTGTTCTAAATAATTGTTGTGGACGAATGTTGTAGAACACAGCCTCAAAATTCCTTCTGATCAATTTAAACACAATCACCAGTCCGCAACACTATTGTCTTTAAAAAAGTAGAAAAATAAAATTCTTTTGAATGAATAATGAATTTTTACAAGAATTTTTTTTTTTTAAATTTTAATTACAATAATTTATAGATTTTTACATGTTTTAACATTTTTTATTAATTTGTAGATACCAAGTGATATTATTAAATTAAAACTGCATTCACTAATCATAAATGAAAAAGCTCACTACAGTATTTTACAAAGAATTTTGAATTTTTTTTGTATGTATATCAACGTGTTGGTTTATGTAAATATGAACACCCATGCACAACATTATCAGAAAATAAGACAGGTACCTATAGAAAATTTAAAATTTATTGGCAATTTTCTGGCATTTTCTCAACAAGCATTTTAAGCAAGGTTATAAAAGCCAAATTCAATAAATTATTAGATTGCTTAAAATATTTTCTTAATTTTTTAAAATTACTGAGTAGTTGAAAAAAAAAAAAAAACCTATAAGAAAGGCATATACATTGTATTTGTCAAGTAATTTCTTCCAAGTCTATTCCCTTTACTGACAAGGTGAAAAAAGTTTCAATGAATTTAAATTTAGATGGAAATACTCCAAAGTTGTTTGTGTATCAGGAGGTGCCTAGATGAAAGTATCATAATATTATGTAACCTTCAGTATAATTGGTGATGATAGGTATAGAAAAAAAATCTTACCTTGGAGAGGGTCTATATCTAATGCAACGGCATTCTTTAAATGACCAAGAGGGACAACAACATCAGCAAAATAGTCCACATCCATTGAAATTTTTCGAATATCATTTCTCCGTGTAAATATCAAGAAGTTTTTCATTTCTAGATATAAGAGAAAAAAATTCATTGTCTAAATGCAAACACAAAAGCAGTAATTCATCTTATTTAAAGGATGGTAACAGATGATTCCCAATTAATCTGAGAAAAAAAAATTTATACTCATTCCATTCTATATACGCATTCAATATGATTTTTTATTGCCTCCCACCAACCTAACAATAGTTATTAAGATGAAATTGTAAACAAAATTAATACATAAACAGATTTACACATTAAAACAAATAAATAAGCAAATACTAAGTAAAATATACTAACACATTACAAAGCATCATATTCAAAATTTTTGCTTGAAGATTGTTTTATTAATTTCTCATTAAAAAATGTTCATTATTGATGTTTATCAAAGTTCATTTTCTGTGATACTGGTTATGAACAATGTTTCTTTTTAAATATATATATATATATATATATATATATAACATTTTTCTATCTGAATTTCTGAGATGAGAAGTTGTCTTTTTTATTGTTGCTATCACAACATTTTAGCCATTGTGTCATCGGCCTTCATAAGGTGTATGTCAATCTGGGTTACCCACAGGGAATTTTGAACTGAACCCTTTATTTAATCTATGGAAATATGTTGTCCTCATTCCACTTCCCTTGTCTAGTGGGTATCTTGTCTATTTCTTATTTAGTACTGCTCAGTTATTGTTTGCCCTGTTTCCACCGAGTCCAAGTACATACTGCCTCTCCCAGAAATTGAACTCACAATTAAGAATCAGCACATATGCTAAGCAATAAGGAACTCCTTAGTAGGCCTACCATAGAAATAAAAACAATATTGGAACCATTAAGGAAGACTGCATGTTTTCAATAGTAACAGTAACAAAAAGTGGAGCTTTAAGGAGTACAGCCAAGATACAGCTGCACTCATTAGCAGGCAATTTAGGTTCAAGGTTTCAAGTTTTCCATACAGATTTGTCCCATGGAGCAATAGCCTAGTGGATTAAATTTGTGAATTTGGTGACATAGTAATTGTGAGTTCAATCTCTGAATAAAATGTTCAGTTTGAAATTCCCTGTAGGTTATTCCAATCAACATATATCTGATGAAAGCTGGAGGGCACAACAGCTGAAACATTGTGATAAGATGAGGACAATAGTTCACATGTAAATAAAATAAATTCCATTTGTTCCATTTCAAAACAAATATAATATAGAAATAGAAAACTTTTTTTTCTTTTAGAAGTAAACATTTTTTTCTGTGCAGATATTAATAAAAGTGAAATTACAAATGATAATTGCTACTATAAAAGATAGTTCCACACAACAGAAAAGCAGTAGAACTCCATTTCTCTTTCCCCATGAACAACACAATATCTTTTATATCAAAACCTTTCCTTGTGTCTTATAAGCATGCATACCAAATCAGAGGGCTTTACAAGAAACAACAACAACATTTGGTTTTATATAATAGACAAACTCTTCCCAATTATATATAATCCATCTAAACAAAGCAAGGAAAGTATAATGGACTGTCTACTTTCTTGTTAGTTCTTATATATTATAACCACACTATTGAATAACAATTTACTCATGTCTGATAATTTTTTAAATATTTCTATTCATTCCATTTTTGAAAAGAAACACATAAAATAGTGTGGTGTTTAACGCAACAATTCAACTGATGATAGCAGGTAGGCACAAAGAAAACCGGTGTCGCACGTCCAACCTTCTAACGGCCGAAGGTCTCTGATCTGAAACAGAAAACAGGCCTGTTTTATACAGCCGGCGGACCCGACCCGCGATGATTTTGCATGCGTAATGACGAGACAACGAGATTTCGTTAACTCAACTTAGACGCCCGGCATAAAACGTGGGCGCCGCCATTTTGGTTTTCTTTTTTACTGTTGGAAGGACCAGAGTTTGCATACTGTGCAGATTCGAACGCGTTTCGAGGTAAGCCATTTTCGCAATTTTCCCCACACTCCCCCTGATCTCATGATCACAAACAGGGCAGGGAGGTGGCGATCATCTTTCATCGAGTCCCCCTCCGGCGGGGGATAACACAAAGCTTCATCCTCGGCGTGTTCTCATCTGTGGTTTGAGTGTCGGTAAACACTGTGAAACCGGGAGGCTGCTGTTATCAGAATCACTGCCCTGCAGGTCTAACTCCAAGGCAGATTGAACGCTCACTACTCCCAGACTCGAAATCGCTTTTCATCGCCGGTAGCGCGGTAGTGATTGCATCACCGGTCGCAAGTCTTTGATGTGACAAGGCACCCCATCAACTCTCACAGATTGCGGGCTGATCACCTCCGTAACACGTCCAGTGCCGTATTTTGTTATACACTTGCCGTGTGGGTTTTTGACCCAAACAACGTCTCCTTTTTTCAATCTCCCTCCAGTCACTTCTAGTTCAGGCAGCGGGTTGGCTTCGATGCCTTTCACACGGACATGATATTTGTGCAGTGCATCAGCCGGCGCCGTGGATGGTGAAATGTTATCTTTCGGGGCGACATTATACCAGTAAAACGCCTCCGATACTGTACAGCCCTTCCTGGCTGCGATGGTCTTGATGGTTCTGTGGTTCCGCTCCACGATGCCGTTTCCACTTGGTGAGTAGGCACATCAAACCGCAGATGCAAGTCCCAAGTGTCCTAAATTCTTTAAAATCTTTACTGGTGAATGCAGTATCGTTATCCGCCAGTATTTCCAACGGCCGGGCCTCGCTCAGGAAAACATTCTCCAACAGTCGAATGCCCGGTGCTCCGTCTTTCTCTGCGCAGCTGCCGACATACCGCAAACCTGGAGGGACCGCAATCAATGAGTGTTAAAAATTCTCACCATTGTAGTGAGTTATGTCCATTGCCAGTCTGCTCCAGTTGCTCTTCACGCTCAGTTCTCCTCTTTCCCAGTGAACGGGTGCCGGATCGATCGACTGACAGGTTGTGCAGGCCTTCACAATGGATTTAACTGGAAACCTGCGGGTCGACTAACCTGGCTAGCAATTCATCAATTCCCAGTGTGTCCAATCTTGAAGACGCTCGCAGGAGCCGACTGGTGTCGTCGAGAAGCCCTGCCAGGAAGGCGCACCCCAGTATGCGGTCCGTTGCTCCTAAACGGTACTGCCATCCTTCCAAATCAGCCAGGTAAACATCCACGGTCTTACCGGCTCGAGCGTTGTCCCAACGAACTGTTTCCAAGCGATGAATGGGTCTATTCAAAGGCCGTATACAGGGCGTCCTTGATCTCTTCTAGGTCAGCATTGTCCCTGAGTTGTTGATATATGGCGTAGGCTCCTCCCGTGAGTCTCAGTGGGATGACTAGTGCAGGTTCCTTTATTTTGGACACCCTGCAAACACGTTCAGCCTTTTCAAACCATTCGACGATAGTGGGCCTGTGGGGAGCCGTCGAATTCTGGGATCAATTTTAGATCTAACTTGTCCATTGCCGAAATAGCATGGTGTTGACACAACAATTCAACTGATGATAGCAGTTAGGCACAAAGAAAACCGGTGTCATACGTCCAACCTTCTATGATGGAAAGCTCTCTGATCTGAAACAACAAAGCAGGCCTACTTTATACAGCCCATGGACCGACCACGATTTGCATGCGAATAACGAGACAATGATATTTCGCGTTAACTAACCGAGACCGCCCAGCATAAAACGTGGGCGCCGCCATTTTGGTTTTCTTTTACTGTTGGAAGAACCAGAGTTTGCATACTGCGCAGATTCAACTCGTTTCCAAGGTAAGCCATTTTCACAATTTTCCCCACAAATAGTCACCCACTTTATTCACCTAAAATAATTTCTTCCCCATTTGGACAAAAGGACAAGGTCAGTTAAAGTAGAACACTTATAATCAAATGCACTTTTTTGCAACAAAGTTTTCTAATTGCTACATCAACTAAATATTTTTTACACAATTCATATTTAGTATCCATTTCTTTAAATATAGACAAAAAAAAGAAAAAAAAATAGGTAGGTTGAATGACAGGATTCCATCTTCCAGGATCCTCAATCCCAATCAATTTATTGTAATGTTTTTTCTTTGATCTAATTTATTGCTTTGTAAGTAGATTTAATGCAATTTTATTTTCTGATAATTTCTTTGAGAGTTGTTCCAAAAGTAATGCAACCTATTTTTACATTAGCAGTAGATGTTAGTGCTATAGCAGTAGAGATTGAACCTTCCCACCAATTTTCTTTTTGTTTTTCTTGTTACAGATAGAAACTGAGCAGCAATCTAGCATTTGACATGAACATGTACATAAAGTAGAGGTATATCATTGAATCGCTCCATGTACAAAAAAATGCATTTCAGCAGTGGCATCACTAATGTGGTGTGAGTATAGCATGCAGGCTGTTGTCCTTCACTGGCAAAAAATGCATAGCCAATAGTAGTGTCTATGGAGAAAAACAGTGTTTTATAACCAAAAACTTGGTCTGTCTATGAAAAAAAAAAACAGGAAACATTATATCTGAATTCCTTTGTACTTACAAAAGACAAGGAGTTAACCTTCAGGAATACAGAGGCTAAAACATTGAGAAACTACTTTTTATAATAAAGATATAAGTATTTTAAACATGAATGATAATTACAAAAAGAAAAAATTCTACTTTTAAAAAAATTGTTTCCTTTGCATGGTAAAGAAAAAATTAGAACAGTTAAAAAATTAGAAAATGAATTATTTTGATTCATTTTTAAATTTATAAAGTTATTTTGAAAAAAATCTGCAAATGTTAATGACATCTTTGAGAGCCAGAAACAATTAACAAGTAGAAATAGATACAAGTAGTAGATACTGAATTTTTTAATTCTCAACTGTTGTGATTTTACAAATATGAAAATGCATTACAAGAAAAAGAAATTAAGAGATTAAAAGTAAAAACCTTTTTCACATGTTTTGCCATCAGGCTTAATGAGAATTCCTGTCGGACATGCACAGGTATGTGTTTTTGGCCCTGGTGCTAATAAGCATAGGTGACTGCAACCACCATTCCCCTTTCTGCATGGAGTAGACACTACAAAAGAAAAAATTTGGTTAAAATAGACACAAACTCACATTTTTATCTTCTTAAACATGGAAATAAACCACAAGTCTCCTTTTTAAATACAGTGAATTTTGACTGCATTAAACTTTAAAAAAAAAAGCTAAAGTGGGGTTGGAAAGTAATGAACTACTTTAAATCTAAAATTATACTACCTCAATCCCATAATCATTGTTATAGTTTATGAAATACACAGTAGGGAAGCAAAACTTGCAGTAAAAATTTTAACTATAATTTCTCACTAAATATATACACCTATTTTTCAGGAATATCATAAAAAGTGACCAATGGCAAAAAGTGTCAGACATGCTTCATACACAAATTGACTAAAATACTCAATATAATTGTGCACTGTTTACAATGTCAAGAAGACTTTAAAAATAGCAACAGCATTCACAGGAACCAGAATAGCAGTTGAGTCAACAAGAAACAAAATTATGTCATTATTAATGTCCTCAAAAGTAAAAGAACCCAGCAACATTTGTGCATAAGAATGGCATAACAAGCTCAACCATAAATTATACACCAAGATACCAAAAAAACTCCTCACAAAAGACCATGGAAGCAAAGAGGCTGGAAAAATGCAATAATGTACTCAGGTATGTCAAAAATCATAGCATTACTGTTAAGATATTCTGACAAGAAAATTTTCAAAGTGAGTGCTGTTTTGAACTGCCAAAGAGACTAATACCTTAACAATAACAGTTAGTGTCAATAATACCTTTAGGATGAAACATATAGCCCAAGTTATGGTCTTTGGTGTCATGGCTTATGACAGGAAAAATATGTTCCATTCTTTTACTTATGTTGAATCCTACAAAAAAGTCCTGAGATACTATGCTTTACCATGGATCAAGATCAACTACCCAGAGAACAATACATGTTTAGACCCAGAATGATGCTTCCATTGACCCAGCCAAGAAGATTCAAAAGTTTCACAAAGCTAAATTTGCTGATTACTCACCAGCATACATCTGGTCTTCTAGACTATACCCTCTGGAGCATATTGGAAAGAATAACCAAAAAAGACCTCCTACCCAAATATATTCATTACATTCACTTACATGCTAATACCCTTGGGAAAGGTATGAATCCTCTTCTTCCCCCAGCTATGGGTAAATAGCAGGACAGACCAGGTTCTATAGCCTTGGATGTCAACTGGTCTACCTCAGAAAGAAATGACAACCTACTGCGGGAAAAAAATCTGCCTTGTAAGTCATGTATCAAAAGATACATGATTACCTAAGTGTGTATCATGCATGGCACATAACTGACCCAAATATAAATACCCTCAAAGCTTCCATCAAGGGAGAGTGGGCAAAGATAACCAAGGTCATCATGGTTAAGAGTTGTACAACTTTTTGAGATCATGTTATTTTCAGTTACTGAAAATAATGAGGACCACATTGAATAAATTGGCCATTGATATTATCTATGAATTTTATTCATTTCCCTTTTATATTAATAGGATTATTTATGTAGAATTGTGAGTTTTTAAGTTTTGTAAGTTCTATTCCCCCACTCTTTATATGCAAATGTAACAACTATTATGGGTCTGTGGAAGTATAAATTTAAAACTGGTAAGATTCAAGTGTATTTTTGTCACTGACATGTTTTTTCAGTAAACCTTTATGGAAAAACATTTTGCATAACAAATCTTTCAAAGTTAAAAATAAAAATAAGCAAAATTTTACAACACTGAAGGCACTCACTTGAAATTACAAATGATTTCAGAATTCTTTTTGCTGTTTGTGATTGCCATAAAAATATCAACAATCATTACATTTTTAACTTTATAATCTACCATAAAAAGTAAATTTTATCAGATTAGATAATTGTAATAAAATAGCTTAGAAAATTTTATTCTATACCAACTCCTCACCATTTTCATAATTTTAAACAGTTTTAAACTATTTCTCATATGCTTAAGTTTTATTTTTGTGATTAGGAATAATGTTACTTCTTTAATAATCAGCAAACTTTTTCTTTTAGTGTATTGTAATTAAATATGTGAAAATCAAAGTAGGTATTATGTATTTAAATAATTTATATGCATACAAACAGGCAATAAAATAGTTAACTTGCCTTCTATAGTAATTAGATTTAAAAAAAAAAAAAAACTCCTGTCCAAATGATTTAAAAAAAAAAAAAAAAGAAAAAAAAATCCTGTCCAGTGATTTAACATTTTATAAATATCTACGTAGCATAAGAAATAATTTTAAAACTGTAAAGGCATTAATTAAATAAATGAAAATCTTTTTAAAAAAATTTTATATTTTGCAGTGAAGTTTCAATTAAATTTTAAGTTATTTGATGTATTCATAAAAATATAAATATTTCTGTAAAAAAAAAAAAAAAAAAATTATTTTTGTTGAGGTTTCAAAAATAAAATGATGGTGTATGGTTGGCTTAAAAAGATCATTCCAAATTTTTCTTACAAAATTCTTTTTTTTTATAAATTAATTCATAAATAAGTATATAAAATTTAATTGAAATTTGTCAATGTTTATATTTGTAGATTTTTAGAACCAATGTTGAGTTTCCTGACAAATATTCCATGATATTATATCTACAAGTAAATAATTTTTTAAAGTATAAGCAACTATTCAATAACAAAAATCTGAATTTGCATATTGGATAAAAATAATCAGAATATTCTCCATCACTCTTTTGAATAACACAGATCATAAAATTAACATATCAGGTGTTTTAATGGTGCATATAAATTTATATTAAAATTTTAATGATTCAGCATGAATTTAAAAAAAAAATAAAATTTTGTATTTTTGCATGCTTCTGAGAGGTGTTAGTTATTCAAATCAGAGAAATAATGGATTTTAATAATAAAAGTTAATTTAGTCATAAATATTGGAGCCAGGTAATTTCACTTGTTAATTGTTTCTTACCATTCTTTAATATGAAGTTTTTAATATATCATAATATTTTATAATATAATATAGAGAAAGATTTTTACTTTTTGTTGTGGGGTGTTAATTTCTAAATATCTATAGAATATAGAACCTGATATTGAGGAAATGTTTTAAGCTTTAAAGATTTTTACTATGAAGAATTTCAACTATTATATAATTACCAAATGTTTGATATATATTTTCATAATTCAGTCTAGAGAAGCTATTTGATATAATAATAATCTGCCTTGACAAAATTGCTCTACTGGGGAAAGAGAAAAGAGATAAGCTTTCTCTCCAACTTCTAATACTAAGTTGAGGCAGATAATTCAAACATTTGACTGAAGAAAAACTAAAATTTTAGAAAAGAAAATAATGTTATGCAATTTAAAGCTAAAATCTTTTTAACATTCAATAAGAAATCTTGTAACTGCTTCATTTAAAGGAAAATTTCAAAACTCATTTGAAAAGACATTTACTGGGTGTGATTTAAGAAATTCATCCAAATTACTCAATTTTCTGAAAGCAAACAAACATATTTTATGAAATACCATATTTTAATTTTATGACTAATAGCATAGTTTAAAAGAGACAAAATGTTAACCAAAAGCAAAAGTCAAACCAAAATACTTACAGTATGGCCTTCCTCTGTGAAAAACAGTAATATCCATGACATTATCAAGACCTTTCTTTAGGGTTTGGTGGTTTGTTCCATTGAACTTACTAGCCATCTGGACACTTTTTGTATTCCAATCAGTCCAAAAAATAGAATCCTCATAAACAATCAGTCCAAAAGGATGAGGTAATCCAACTCCAATGACAATCTGAAACATAAAATTTGCATGATTTTTAAGATTCATGTCGAATGTCATTTTGAAATCCACCCAAAAGCAAAGATATTAAAATTTGAAGCTTTACTTTTCTATATAATTAGGACATAACATTCTAAATATGAAAATTGCTGAAATCCCAGAATATCCTCTAATTCAAAATTTATTTAAAAAAAAAAAAAAAAAAAAAAGACAGGAGAATTATTTTTTATTTTCTGATAATAAATGTTCATTTCAAAATACAATTTATACAAAGAAAATTAAAAAGGAAAACCATAAAAAGATTAAAAAAAAATTTTAAATTCTAAGTGGAATCAATTTGTTTTACCAAATGTATTCCTGATAGTAGATTCTAAAATCTCAATTTCAAACAAAGTTTTACTATATATGTCTATTATATATGTATATTATAAAGTCAATTAATTGACACATTCAGATTTTTGAAAAGTGGGGAAAGTTAATTTTGAATAATTGTGGTGGGGTAGGAGCAGGAATAAGAAATCCATAGCCATTTTGAAAACCAGTAAATAACATCAAAAACAGTAAATGTATTATTATAAAACAAATCATTTTCTCCAAGACTTTATTATATTATGCAACTTAAATTTTTTATTGTATCAATTTCAAGTGCATGCAAAATTCATCTCTCAACCTGCATCTACCAATTTCAAGTAATTTTCCTTAGAATAAGCAAGTTTTAATAGACAAAATAAAATCTATGATGCAAATTGGTATGGAATATGATTTTCCTTTTAAACTACTTACTCTTCTATAAAGTCCATCAAATGTTGCAGACTCAATAGTTTGAGTGCCAGCATCTGTCCAATATAATCGGCTGCTTTTCACATCAACAGATAAGCCATTTGGCAATGTTAAATTACTACTGACAAGAACAGTTCGGCCATTTCCATCCATTCCTGCACGTTCTATCTTGGGTTCATGGCCCCAATTAGTCCAAAACAAATATCTAAAAATGGCAATAATAATTTAACATCAATTACAATAAAACTATTTCTAATAATAATAATTATTTGATTTTAAAATAGATGCACAAATGTATGAAATATTTACAAATTATAAGTAGTTATAAGTATAAAATTTACAATAATTCCTCCCTAACAACATATATATACTTGTAAAATTTTCTATATATAAATGAAATTTGAAAACATTAATTTTTTTATAATCTTGTGCATCTTATTAAAAAAGGATGACAGATTTTCTAGAAAATTTGATTTAAGTTGGGTTTCTAGTTTTATCAATTTGTATTACAAGCTTTTCAAGTTAATCAAAATTGTAAATATTTTTCATTGCAACAAAATAAAATTTTCAAATTCACATAATAAAATTCTGTCATGAACATTTTTTTTTTTAGCAAGGTAGTAATACCACTAAAACACAGGGGTTACAAGGTATGGAAGAATTAGGAATGCAACCATTGAGGATGAGCAGAAAGAGTATACAGTAATCAGGTGAACAATAGGTAGTGATTGACATTGCATTTAAATTTTTGCAGATTAAAGATGGCTGGAAAGCATGGAGGTAGAAGGGAGTTCCACAAGCGAGAAGAGTGAGAGAAGAAACTGTTAGCATAGAACTTATTGCTACATCTAACCTGCTCACTGTAAACTGATGAGATCTCGATGCCAGTCTAGTTCTATAATGTCTAGGTACCATAGCAAAGAGCTCATTTGAACAATTACCATGAAAGTATTTATAGAAAAGATATAGAGAGGCAACCTTATGACAGTGGGGAAGTGACTGGAGCTGAGCCGCCAGATCAGGACCATTAATATTACAGATTCTTCTTTGGATCTTATTAAGGAGCTCAAGGTAAATAGTAGGGGCACCAGACCATATGTGACAGGAATATTCTAAGCATGGATGAATGGTAGACTTATAGATATGTAAGAGAGATCCTGGAGAGAAAAATTGTCTCGCCTGACTTAGTGAACCAACTTTCTTAGCAGCTGACCTAACAATGGATTCAATGTAGTCTTTCCACTTCATATCAGCAGAGAATGTGAGCCTGAGAAGGTGCAATAAGTCACTTTCCTGGAGGATAGCATCAGCCATGCTGATGGAAGGCAGCAAGGGGTCTCAGATGATTAATCTATGAAATACAGTTTTTTTTTTCAATAAGAGCTCTTATTTTAGGACAATGATGTAAAGAGATGCTAATAGATATTTTACATTTTAATCGTGCATTATTGGGATACAACACCACACACCTTTACAATTCAGACTAGATATTGTTTTCTTCATTGTTTAAATACTTTAATTTGATAACAGATGTCTACTGTAATATAAACACCAACTAGTAGTAACTAAAAATGGATCTTATTAATGTAACCCCAAATACTTTCCAAAACTTTTCTTGAATGGAGATCCATTTTCTTTGTTGCTTTATATTCTTGTAAAATATCAGTTTGTTTTTTATCACCAGTCACTAATCTGTCCAAAAAGGTAAGATTCACCCATAAAAGTGCAAAGAAATGCAAATGCCCACTCTAGTTTTATAGTATGCTTCTGTCAAATAAGGATCTATTTTCCAAGTTGTTGCAGATGACAGAAAATAGTTGAATGGTTTACATTTTTGCACAATGTATTCAACCATAACAGCTCTATTTCTGTCTTGATTAGATAAAATCTGATCATCATTAAAGTCAAAAGGACAACCTGTTTGTGACATATCTCTCAAGCTGAAATCAATTTTTTCTGTCTTTGGCAATTTCTTAATTTAAACAATTTATTCTCATAAATACATGGAAATATTACAGATTGCTTCTATAGCATTATTGCCCTTTCTAAACTGAGAAAGGATTATGTTCTCTGTAGATATATTCATCTTGAGGAATGTCAAGTTAGTAATTACTTGAACTGTATTGTGATAATGTAACTCATTTATTGTTATAATTTAGACATTTTAGAATATAGAAAATATTTAATCTATTGCTATCGGATGTGAGATGACCAAATATTTTACTCAAAAATAAGTGTTCTTTACATGAAAAGAGCACATTTTACATTTACCTCAATTGTCTTATAAATTCAAATCTACCAAGCTGGATGATGGCATTTTTAAAAAAATAAATTAAATAAAACTGATACACTTACCTTGCATATGGTTCTAATACAATATCTCTGGGTTTATCAAGATTTTCCCAGATAAGAACTTTTCTAAACAAGCCATCTGAATTAGCAACTTCAATGACATTTGTACCTTGGTCTGTCCAGTAGATTTTATTACCTACCCAGTCCACAGCTAAGCCTGCTGGACTGTCTAAACTCGAATCAATCAAAACCTACAAGAAAAGAAGCAAATATAGATACAAAAAAATCCAAATAAAACTATCAATATTTGAATAATTTCAGTCTAGAAATATGCATTAGCAGTTATATTTGACAGACTACCATCTGCACTCCTTGGGTCATATAATTATTCATTATAAAGGTATACAGTATAAACATATAAATTTTGTTAAATTTTGTCTAAAAATATAAATTTTTGTTATCAAAGACTCTTGTTTTGGTAATTGGTTTCCCCACACACATCAACATGTTATACAAAGTTAATGTTTTTTAGTTTCCCTATGTAGCAAATAGAGTTCAAATTTCTCACAAGATAATTAGTGTGAAGTGATTATAAATTGGCTTTGGAAAGGTATGAATGCAATTTTTCTGTCCTGCTCCCAGCTAGGAATTAAATAACATACTTGGCTCCATTGATAGAGTTGGCAGACAACCTAGCAGGACAATGCAAAACTGGAGAAGGCAATGGAAATCACTCCATTATTTTCTCCACAAGAACAATCACAATTTACAGATATTTAAAAAAAAAAAAAAAAAAAAAAAAAGCTGTGCAAATCCATGATTGGCTTCTCAAAGGACATGACACTTCAAGTATATTATAAGCACTTGCTGCAAGGGAAGAAATTATGACAAGACAATCTAAGCTGCCATGTTGTACTCAGACATTCTTATTCTGAAAATTAAAGAAAACAAAAAAGGAAAAAAATGGATATTTGTGATGTTTTGAGGAAAATTTATATACAAAATTTTTAATGTAGAAAAATTAAGGGTAAAATACAGGAATAAACTAATCCTATGACAACATACCTCTGCCTGAGATCCATCCCATTTGGCCCGGTTGATAGTATCTGTACTAACATCAGTCCATAGAATTGTATTAGTGTCAGAATCCCATTCAACTGCAACCACATTTTGTACATTTGGCAGAGGAATAATCATATCAATCATTTCAGCAGTATCAAATGAAATCCGACGAAGGTCAGATTTAGTTGAAAACAGAAGAAAATTGTCCAGTCCTACAAAAAATATTTTATAAAATCATCACTATTAATGTGAAGAGTCAGGGTTATGATTAATGAACATATGCAACAGTAAAAGCAAGTAATCTTAACTCTATCCCAACTCATTAAAAAATTATACTAAGAACAAATCTCATTGAACACCCTTCCATAGTGGATCATAAAAGTCTACTCCCTCTGTCCAATAATAGCTGTTTTTTAGTACATTGTAGGGTACTGCTTATACAAACTAATTCTTTACCTAATATTTCTGGGTCACCACTTATGATTTTGCTTGGTGTTGTAAGCAATGGACGATCCCTTTCTTTACACTGTATGGATGGTGGGAGTTGAAATTACTGTCTGGTAAATGTCAGTTTGTGGTATACGGATGTCTTGAACCTATGCTCTGTTTGAGATATTAGAACATCCAGGAATGGGAGTGTGTTGTTACTATCTTTCTCCATCATGAACTGTATCGAAAATCTTATTGAGTTCACATGGTCCAGTAGAACCTGGACATCTTCCTGGTGTGGCCAAGAGTATAAAGGTGTCATCAATGTATCTTAATCATAGAGATAGCCTTAGAGATACAGATTCTAATGCCATTTCCTCAAAGTATTCCATGTATATATATATTTATATATATCTTTGGGTTTATATTTATTATTTTTAAACTTATAAAAAATTGTGCCATCTTATCAAAAAGATTATAAGAATAAATATCAAAATGAGAGAATTTTTAATTTCTGGTGGAATTTTTTAGATCAAGAATTAATAATTTCATGTCTTTCTATTCAAATCAGCATGCTCATCTTGGTTTTTATTCTTGGATTTCATTTGTTGTACTCTCCAAGCTTCTTTGTACCCTGTAACCTTCTAGAATTTTGAACTGAACCCTTTATTCAATCCATGAGAATAGACAGTGCTCATTCCACTTTCCATTCTTAGGCAACATCTTGTATTAGTTAATAGACTAAAGAGAATTTAGTCTATTTGATTTTGTGTTATCTATCCATCTCTTCCACTGAACCAGAGTATATGACTTTTCAGCATTACCCCAAAATTGAACTCACAACTTCCATAAAAAAAAAACAAAAAAAATAAACAAATAGGTCTTAATCAATGCTTTAATCTATAAGGTCATGTGTCTCTTGAGCAATCCAGTAATTTTGGCATCCTAGGCCCAATTTTTATACTCAAGTTATAGAATCCTTCTATATCCTTTCTTAATCAGAAGCTACTAGATAGTATTCATCTTGATTCTATAAAGAGGTTACCAGAACCTAACATGTGTGCTGATATTTTCAATACTTTTATCTTCCACTGTTATGCTCGATTATCTTGACTTCATTCCACAAGGATTGATGGCCACGTTTTTATAAAGTTTAACCTCCATACACCAATTTTCAGTATCTAATTATCATACTATTCTGATTTAGTGAATTTCATTGGATAATAAATTCAAGTAGATTTACTATGTATTTACTCATGCTGATAATAAATTTTGTCCATCCTAAACACAAAGTGGATCCAAATAGTTTTTTTGAAAACACTATTGCCAATTGGTCAATATATATGAAAAATGGCAACAATGCCCACACAATAGTGTTTAAGGTAAGTTGACTGCCAAAATTTCTCAATGTGTTCATGAGCCTACCACATGACTAGAAAACAAATAACTTTAATGCATGAGCAAACCTAATCAGTGAGCATTTTGCACAACTAGCAATTGCCAAACTAGTCCATGATGCTTGTATCCTTGAAGTGCAAAGTTAGAATTTCAATTTCTTCAACATGAAAACAACTTCATTGTAATTAAAGTTAAAATATTGAACTCAATCACTCACTCACCAAATTCTTTTGGATTCCTTTATCACTTACTGAAAACTTCTCAATCACAGAATTGATTTTCAACTTAATCTGCTACAGAACATTATTACACTGGATTTTATTGTTCATCAAGTTTAATACTCGACTGAAGAATGAACTACCTTCCAGAATTTTTGTAAGATATTTTTTATGCAATCTTTGACACACAAACATATAGCAAAGGCAGACAATTTTTGTTACTAAACTCTTACATTATGAATTTCATTTCAGAAACCGTTTTACAAACTGTTTAAAATTCAATTTAAACAAGTTTATCTAAAAACAAATTCTATCAAAGTTTTACATATTATATAACATAAAATATTCAAATCAGTGAACTCGACTTCATGTGATACTGAACATTATAAGAGTTTAAAAAGCAAATTTAAAATCCCCCCAAACAAATCTCTTTCAGTTTCAAACAAATGCCCTTAACATTATCATTAGATAAACTGTATTACTTACTATCTCGACAGGTCTTCCCATCTTTCCTGAGAGCCAGTCCAGTTGGACATGCACAAATATAATTTCGTTTTGTAGGAAGGCATAAATGACTGCAGCCACCATTGTCAGAACCACATCGATTCATTGCTGTCACCAAGAAAAAAATAAAAATTAATGTTAATCAAAAATACTTTTAAATTATACTTATTTTTAGCACAATCTAAAAATAGAATAGGAAGCTGTTAAAAGATTTAACATTAAAGACAGAACATGTATAAATTATTCAATGATTTGTTTGGAGTTAAGGCATTTTAAGTTTGAAAATAATTAAATTTTATTTTTTTATAGCGTGATGTAAGATACAAGAAATGCAACTCTGAAATAGATTACTTCCCCTTATCAAGTATAAATGTAACAAATGCATTCCTTTTGACTACAAAGGGGTGTTGAAAAGTTCATAGATCAATTAAGCAAATAGAATATTTTAATGGAGAAATATTTTTCGGTCGGGCTGAGAATAAGTTTCTGTTTTTATTCACTCTTTGGGGAAAATACATACATGTAGGCATTTCATTTGGCAAAGTAAGCTACTATTTTCTTTACTATACATACATGAAGGTTTCTTTTGGATTAACAAGCACCTCTGCAGGAAATGTCCAGTAAGGAAGCTACATGTAGTAGTCATTACAAAAAGTGATATTTTCCAAAACTATGTTGTTCAACAAGGCTTCAAAGATCTGCTTCAGCTCAGTCTTAGAGAGCTTGAGAGTTCATGCAAATTTTTATTTCACTAATCATAGCATCTTGAACATAAGCTCTTGCTTTTGGAAGTAAGAAGTATGTTTGTTGCACCTGTGATATAGTTGATTCTCCTAAGACCTGCAACTTTTGCACCTTCATATATCTTTTTGCTACAAGCATTTAAAAGAATGGCAGAAAATTCAACATCAAGTGGATCACAGATTTCAACAGTATAGTGGCTGATCAATCCCTGAAGAAATTGATAATGCTGTGCTCATCAACAACCAATACAGGATAAAGAATAAATGCTGCATTTAACATGTAGGGCTCTTATTGTAAATCTGTATCTGACTAACTTTAGACTGACCTATAAGGAACCAGAAAAGATGGAAAAGAAGGCTTACTGATCTGGATGAAACACAGTATGCTCAGGAGTTGAGGAAGCAATGTCCCGAAAATCATAAATAACATCAACTGTCAAAACATATTCTACTTATGTGGAAGGTTTGTTGGCCACTTTCTGAATGTGCTTTTGGCTTACAATGGTAAAGTTATTTATAAAACAAGGAGAGTGTGCAGTGTCAAAAGGATTTGATAATAAAGTTCGCAATTCCTCTCTCAAATGCATGACAGGAGAGATGGTGGTCAATGTGTGTCAGGAGGATTCTGTGAAGGGGAACTGGTGAGTATATGGCCAAGAAACAATAACATAGCTACCTGAGTAGCACTGAATAACCAAAAGTGTTTTTACAATGTCTTCCATGTTGTAAAAACAGCTTTAGTTGTTCATAATTATTAAATATGAATGACTTGTTAATCAAAAATTGAATTTTGCAACTTTAAAATATTTTTCCATTAAAAACAAAACTTTTATGAATTTATTTTTTATAAGCAGAAAAGACATCCAAGCATACACGGCAACAGCAATACAATCTTCAATAGTGATACTCTCTATGTAGTTATCAGCTAACCATAGTTAAACCAAGATCATTTTTGAAAAAGATACTTTTTATACAAGACAATATAATGAAAATAGTCACACACAAATGATAATTATAAAAGGAAAAAATAAATTGTTACTTCAGAGAAATTCATATTTTTGCTAATAATATTTTTTTTTACTTTTTCAAATGTAAAGACATACACTTATACCTTGTGGCTGCCTCAAAGGATGGTAAGTATGTATATCCATAGGATAGTGCAAGCGACTTCGCACTCTTTCAACACGATTACCAGTGAATTTGTTTGCTCTCCAAATACTTCTCGTGTGCCAATCTGTCCAATAAAGCTCATCTTCAAATAGTGTTAATGCAAATGGATGAGGCAGTCCTGGAAAAACAAAAATTCAAATCATAAAAGCTTGTCATTAAGAAAATATCAATTTTAATAAGTTCCAGCTGCAACATTAAAAGTTGCAATATATTTTCACTTTGATGGATATCTTAATCTGATGGAAACGGACAACTTATATTTATTTAGCTAAAATTAAACTTCAAACATGCAATTGAGAAAATGGAACAAATTTAATATGTAATATTTTCTCAATATTTAAAGATAAACCATGCAAACCTAATTATATTTGTGTAAAAAGAAAAATGTTTTTGAACAATACATTAGTTTTTATAATACATAAAGTATTTAAATATGAATAAAAAGCCTAATTAGTATTTTTCAAGACAAATTATCAATACATTAACATTTTCTCCAAACACAAAATAATCAAAAATAACACATTTATTGCTAAACATTAAATATATTAGTAGTTCTTTTAGGAAATACACCGAAAAGAGAAAAATATCATATTTTAAGAGAATTCTCACCATGGCTAATGATTGTTCGTCGGTACGACCCATCTAGATATGCACACTCAATCACATGATATTTGGCATCAGCCCAATACAATTTGCCAGCCGCATAATCAATGGTGAGACCATTAGGCCAGATTAACGATGAATTGACAATTGTTCGCCGTTCATGGCCATCCATACCTGAACTTTCAATTTTAGGACTACTACCCCAGTCTGTCCAAAATATCATCCTAAAAATAAAAATCAGACATATCATCCATTTCAAAATGAAAAATATATTTGTGATATACAAGGCCCTCAAAAGAAAATTTGCTTTAATAAAAGTTTAACAAATTCTGATCAATACACTTTACATTCTGAATTTTTAAATACTTATTCCAATTAGGCAAATTAGGCCAAATACATCATTTTTTTTCAAATTACTGTAATCAAAAAACTCATAACAAAAGCTTTTGCAACAAAGGTTTTTTTTATTTTGGTTTATTTTTTCAAAAAAAAAAAAAAAAAAAAAAAAAAAAAAAACAATGTGCAAATTTGTTTTAATTCCTTATCACTGTATACGTTTGGTCTACATTTCAGCACCAAGACATACAAGCAATAATCAAGAAAAGGGGAACCAAGATTCTTAAGCGATTTAAATTGATAACTAAAGTTGCTTCAGACTATCACATGTGATCAAAATTTGCATTTGTGTTAATAAAGAGCAAATAAAAGTTGCATTTTTGAAATCTTTTAATACTGGCATCTGTGTATTTGCAACAGTATGTATATATATATATATATATATATATATATATATATATATATATATATATAAAAGGCAGATTTCATTAAATAATTTAGACATGTTCTGTCTACTTATTCTCAATAGGATCCTCTCATACTCACGAATGAAATTTTTGGGGTGGTTATTGAATGACAAGAGGAAAATGCTGTGTTGGTTCATATTTATTTATTCCGAGTACTTGGAATAAATACAATATGAACCAACATAGCACTTTCCTCTCATCTTTCAACAACTACACAAAAAAGCTCATTCGTGAGTATAAAATGATCCTATCAAGACTAAGTAGACAGAATATGCATAAATTATTTTTTAATGAAACATGCTAAAAATATAGTATCAGGGATACAGCATATGTAAATATAAAAATGGACACTGAGCAGAAATAGTCTGTTGCATACTTGAACACAATCTTCAGGCCTGAAGTTTGTGTTCAAGCCACTCAGTATCCATTTTTATATTTTTATTTGCTTAAATATTATTTTTAATGGATACTTGTATTTGAGTAGATGCTCTGTTTTCATTTATTTATTAAACAATATATTTATTTATTTATTTATTTATATCTACTTGGCCTGAATTGTGTTGTTAGTATATTAATAGATAATGAAGAAAAAAATACATAGGAGTAACTAAAGAACCCTGGAAACAAAGAAATTCCACACACAAAACATCCTTTGCAAATAGTAAATATGTGAACAGCACAATGCTTTCTAAACATATCTGGAAGATTAAAAACAAAAAACAAATCACACCAAAAATATCATGGAAAATAAGAAAAAAAAAACATCATTCTACAACAATCAATCCCAAAACTATAAACTCTGCTTGGAGAAAAAATAGCTATAATTACCTTCCCAGATCAAAACAAACTACTAAATAAATGATCAGATCTCATCTAAAAATGCAGACACAAAAACAAATTTTTACTACGTTACTTAAAAATTGAAAAATGAAAAAAAAAATGAAAATAAATAAATAAAATAAAAACAAGTAAAATAAATTAATCCAAACAAATAAATAAGTAAATAAACTAAGTAAATAATAAAATGAACAAACCACACCCACCAAACTAACTGTTTGGATAATTCAATGCAACAGACTAACCACAATGCATCACTGACCAGTATATATTAAAAGTCAAGCAAAAATACAATGCACATGGCCTGAGGATTACGTTTAGCATGAAACAGACTGTCCCCTCTGGGTGTTGACTTTAATGTCCGCTTTTATATTTACATACATTCTATCCCTAATATTGAGCACTTTAACTCATAGATATAGTATACCTTAAAATTATAATATATATATATATATATATATATATATATATATATATATATATATATATATGATGAGTCAAAAAACCCAAAAAAACACACATTTTCTCCTGTTGTCTCATTATATATAAGTGTGGGCATAAACTAGATAAGATATTAGCAACCATATAGGCATGTGATAGCATACATATATACATGGGCAAATAAATATTTGTTTAGTTTCAAGTGTAAGAAAAACAATGCACAATATAATTAAACAGAGCTATAAAGAATATATTAATAAATATACATGTACTCGGAGTTTCATGGTTACCCAATTCATCAGTCACAAATGGTAAAAAAAATTTTTTTTTTACCATTTGTGCCTGATGAATTGGGTAACCATGAAATTCTGCACTACAAACATAGGTATATGTGCATATATATATATATGTATGTAACAGGCCTATGTGGAGGTACTAGTTGATTTTTGACACATGTTTCCCCAGATGGTATAAACATGGTGACTAGTAGTTTGCTGCTGCATGTTCCTCATCAAGACAACAAACTTGTTTAGAAATTGAGTACAAACTGGAGATGAACAACTTAGCATTTTTTCAGTTGTTTACTGTAAGAGCATTTGGGGTGTACTGAGTGAGTTTTACATGTGCTGAGTTAAAAAAAGAAGAATTGTTTTTTATTGTAATATTGTAGCATTGATCAGACCCTCTCCAAGTTCATAGTTACCTGATCCCTAAAATTGTATTACACAAAAATTAATATTTTGACCATGGCTTATTCTTAATCTATTTTAGGTGTTTCAAACTTAGATTTAAATGAGTCACACATTCTCATTTACCTAAAGAAAAATCAAAAAACTAGCAAATTTGTTTAATAGTAGATGAAATTTTGTTGGTTTAAGAAATTAATTATTTCACCAAACATTACCTGGCTGATACCTGTCAACTCCTTGAATTTATGTGGGGAGAAGTGTGACAAAATATTACTCGGTTTTAATGAGTTTTCCCTTAGTTATTTCCAAAGTTCAAAGCCAATGCTTTCCAAACACTAGCATGAATAAAATTAATTTTTCTAAACTGATTTTTTATACCTTATTATTTTTCAAGTTGTATTAAATAAAACTTGTTTTCTTCAAAAATATTTCTAATATGAGAAAGAAAAGGATAATTTATCTCCAATACTCTTTGGGGATTATTTGCCCTTCTATCCTATTATAACCCTACTTTGAACAACTTTCAGTGTATAGATGACAAGATATCTGCCAATATCTCAAATTGTAATTACTTAAATAAACTAGTTAAAATAAATTTATGAAGAGAGGAAACAAAACATGTGACACTAAATCACTTACCCTTTTCCTGGATGAGCAACAATAGCTCGAGGTTTGTCAATCCCTTTCCAAACAAGAACCCTCCTGTCTGCACCATCCAGTTCAGTTACTTCGATTCTTGATGTACCAGAGTCAGTCCAAAACAACTTGTCATGAATCCAGTCAACTGCTAAACCACCTATATGAATATAAAAATATCACTTAATCTAAAAACATTCATATGTACCTTTAATTAAAACATTTCCTACTTAAGTCCTTTTAAAATTTGTAAGCATTCTCTTCTAAATAGACCTTCAAATTAGAAGGCTATCATAGATTATGCAAATATAAGAAATTTATTTCATTCTTGTTTCATTTTGTAAGTTTTCTCTTGTCTATGGCATGACTAACTAATTATTGCATTTTCTAAATTATCTGAAAGAATAATTTACCATATTATACAGTTGAGAAATGAACATAAGACATGTAAATAGCCTAACAAAATATTAAAATGGATTCATTGATTGGTTTTAGTGTCAGTCAATACCTAAGTGTGTGAAAAATCACATGAGGCGTGAAGTATATTTCAAATTCTACTCAAGAAATTGTCAAATTGCAAAATCTTTTAAAAGCATTATCTAATATGAAATTTCATGTAATATCAATATGCAGATTGAAAATCAGAATGCTTGCAGAATTGGAACTATTTACTCCAACAATTGCACCAGACACAAGCAAAGATATTAATTAGACAAAGATGACCAAAATAGCAAGTTTTTCATCATGATTTCTACTCAAAATTATTTGATTTTTAATTTGCATTTAGTTGGTAACAATGAAAATAACTGGCATACTCTTATATTTGTTAAAAACTGCTATTGTGAAACATGGAAATAAATATTTAAGATAGTTCATTGTTATAATAATTTCAATTTGTATAAAGTTAAATGCCAAAAGTAAAAGAAAAGAATTAAATGTTAATTTTAAAGAATTTCTAACTTACCTGTGTTTTTCAGTCCACACTCCACAATAGTTTGGATATTTGAGCCATTCAAATAAACTCTTTTAATCACATCAAGTGAAACATCAGACCAAAAAAGAAGTCCTAAATCATAATGAAAGTCTAGAGCAATTGCATTGTCAAGATTATCAAGAATGAATGAAAACTCGGATTTGCTGGGATTTCCTTTCCGTATTTCAATTCGATTTGCAAATATCAAGTTGACTTCACCTCCTGAAATGAAGAAATGGAAATGACTATATATATATATATATATATATATGTGTGTGTGTGTGTTTGTGTGTGTGTGTGTGTGTACATCAGATATAAATAAAAACAATATAAATGAAAAAAAAAACAAAGGAAAAATCTTTGTATACCAATGAGTTTCATTACATGAGGAATTTTTTAAAAAAAGGTAAATGTCAAGATTTTAGTTCATAACTTGTATTTATACACGGAAGTAACATGGAGGAAAAATATCAATGTTTTCAAATTTTGAATTTGAGAAAACCCTAAAATATTCTTAAAGCTTTCTGTGTAAGGAAAGGTCAAACATGCAGTCTGCTAAGTAATGTAATTTATTGACTAATAAAAGGCAAGTAAATGTTGATGTTGAATTTTTATTTTATTTTTTAACTAATTATTATTTCTATGTATTTTATTTTGTTTAATTATTTGTATTAATTCATTTATTTAAATATTTAAAGGTCTTGAGTTAACAGGTTTCTTTGAAATTTTTATAGTCATGTATGTTGGCTTCAGAATGGAGCATTTCTTTTAAGAAAATAGATAAAGGAAAAAATCCAGGATGTAACATTTTGGGAAGAATCAATAACTGCACTTTCAAAAACTTTTCATCTAAGTTATTTATGCAAAAGCATTTAATAAAATATGTCACAAAGAATTGCTAGATTGCCATGACATATTCGAAAAGGATAGTAGAATAACCTAAAACCTATACTGAGAGTAAACTGCCTGTATACAAATAGAAAATAGATTTAGTAAATATACAAAAATAGAAGAGATGTAAGACAAAAATGTGCCTTCTCACCAGACTTATTCAACCTATACAGTAAGGTAATTCTGAGAGAAATTGAAGTCATACCAGAATTCATTGTTGGTGGAAATAATCTTAACATTAGATATGCAGATGACACTGTTGATAGCAGACCTGGAAGGAAACTCTTACAGAAGGTAGTGATGGAAAACAAGAAGAAAGGATTAAACATCAATTGCAAGATAGAATTTATGATTATCAACAAAAGTGTTGTGGTAGGATCCACCTAATTTGCATAGTGGAGTACCGACCATGTAAATATGGTTGGTACCAGGAAGAAAGGGAAGAATCAAGAGATTCAACCAGAGACTCTGCCCGACTGCGACTCAGTCAACACATTCTCCAGGAACAGTCTTACCAGGAATATACAAAAGACTATATGTAAATATTGTGTACACTTTCTTGTTTCAATACATTTTGTTCTAAGTACATTTTGTGTTGCATTATTATTCCATGCATTAGTCAAGTTTCAACAAAAAGGAACAGCCCAACTTGCAAATTGGAGAACCTAAATCAAGCAAGTACAACAATTTAAATATCTAGAAACAAAAAACAGAAAGTACAACACTGAAATCTGCGGCACATTGGGATAGTGAAAGTTGACTTCCAAAAGCTAAGCATAGTATTAAGAAACAGGAAAATATTGTTAGAAACATTGGAAAGAGTACTGAACTGTTATGTAATATCTGTCCTCCTATATGGCAGTTAATACCAGAAAATCTTACAGATTAAGAAAAAATGGGGGGGGGCAACAGAAATGTGGCTCTACAGAAGGATGCTGAAAATACCTTTGACTAAACATGAACAATGATAAAGTTTTAGAGAAAATAGAAACAAAATGGACATTTATACTTAGCACCAGAAAGAGAAAATTGAATTTTTTAGGGCATATAATAAAGAAAGAGGACTTGGAAAATTTGACACTCACAGGACATTGAAGGCAAAAGGGACAGAAAAAAAACAGCTCATAAGCTACCCAATGAGTTTGCATAAATGGTTGGCAAAACAGGGTTCAGGAGAGAGAGCAAAAAGACAAAATTTACTAAGAGCGACAAAGGACAAGAATTTGTGGAGAGCCATGATCACCAACATCATGAAGGGGCATGGCACATAGATGAAGAAAAATTATAGTATTTTTTTAGACCAAAGTTGTAGTTGAAATTATTTCTAAGTATAACTAATAATTGTGCATAAATACAAGTTATGAAATAAATTCTTCGCATTTACCTTGATAAACTTCAAGAAACGAAACGCATTGGAATAGACAAGTTTTCCTTTTGTCTTTTCTTATATATATATATATATATATATATATATATATATATAAAATAAATAAAATGTAGGATATTCAAAAGTAGATGTTATAATAAAAACTATGTAATTAAAAGCAGTTCAAACCATAGTTATACACCAATGAATCAAATCATTATGACCACTTGCCTAAATGGTGTTGGTTTTCAATGTGCTAGTGAAACAGATCCTGCTCAATCAAATGTTAACTTTACAAAACCTCTACAGGTTTCCGCCGGGATCTGGTGCCAGTCCGTTAATACCAGGTCCTCTAACTCCTAAGTTACATGGAGATTCTGCAGAGTAAATGTGTTGATACCAAACATCCCATCACTGCTAGATTGGACTGAGATAGGCTGGACTTTACATAGCCCTCCTGAAAAAAGCACATTCCTTTTTGCTTGAGCCAAGTAGAGGAAGGCTTCTTTTTTTTCACAAAGAGCAAGAATCATTCCATTTTATAGGAGCAAAGGAGTGTTAATTTTGCTGCTCCTAAAATAAGATTTAAAAAATTGAAGTTGTAAAATTTGTAGGGTTGCCATGGAAGAGATATTTCTTTATTTCTTTTAAGTGGCTAATACTGAAATACTTTAAGACAGTGGTGGCATTTTTTCTTTTGATCTGATTCAAAGGTAAAAATTAATTTTTTTTAAGTTTTGTTGACTGGGTTTCTATCCGTCACAATGTATGGAAGTTTGTGTGTCTGTGACAGTTAATTATATATACGAGTGTCATTTCATTTACAAATAATAAAAGTTTGTGTTTTTGTAAATGATTGAAATGAAAGAAACAAATGAATCTTAATTTTTTTTTTTTTTTTTAAATATTTTTTAGACTTCCACATTAATTTGATGTCTTCAACAAGTTTAATCTTTTAGGCTATTATTAAAGTTAGAACAAGGTTAAAAGATAATGTCTCAAGTTTGTTTTTTAGTTAATATGATGCAAAATAGGTCAATTTATTTAAATTTATTTTTAAAATATTTACTTTTGGAAGCAGACGTTTTAGTTTGAATTTGAGGTCAATATTAAAACATGTAATGGTTTAATAATGTAACAAGTTAACATACGTTCCTAAAATCTTTTTTTTAGTTTAATTATTTGTTTGTGGTGCTAAATAACTATAAGATTCATGGTGTTAAAATTAAGATGACACTTTTTCTGCAAGTTTAAAACCTTTCCAAAACATTTGGAGACACTATTAGAGAGTAATAAAATTATTTTTCAAGCAATAAAAATAATTATCTATGAAGTCTTAGAGAAAGCTCTTTTGATTCCTACCCTCCAAAAATCTATAAAATCTGGATAATTGCCAAGACCTTTCAAATGTTGGTAGTCTTCCCACTCAACTAAACAATGCATTCTTTCCTCAACTAAGTGCAGGGCTCAACACCACAACCACACAATACTGATTTTCTTCCTTGAAAAAAATGTAAATTCACTAAATTATCCATTTACTTTGCCCATAAAAGTCTGTTTTTGCCTTGAGAGTTTTGTTCAGGACTTCACGATTGTTAAAAATAATTGAAGTTGATTTAAAAAGTGATGTTAAAATAATTATATCATTTATTTGGAACCTACAAAATAGTAAGAAAAATTTTTTAAATATAGTAGCATGATGATGAAAATGCCCAACATTGCATTTTATTGTCAAATGCTTGACAGAATAGACTTATGTTTTTAATTTAGAAATTATTTATATTGATTTCAGATATTTAATTTCAAGCAGGAAATACTAGATTTACATGTGAATTTTTCAGCACTGAAAATACATTAATTATATAGTTTCATAGTTGAGTTTTCAGAAGTTATTTTGTAATTAATTAATGGAATTATTTTTAAGTGCTTGTTCTGTAATATTTATTATATAATTTTATAAAGTTCTAAAATATTTTCCAGATTAACAATAGTATTTACTATGAGTCCTATGTCAAATATGTTTTTCTTTTATTTTCAAATTCATACTTTTTTTTTTGATCTGTACTTAACAAAAGTAACTCCCTTATTTCCATTTGAAATTAATTATCTAAATTTTCAATTTATGGAGAATTTTAAAATTTCTTAACAAAATTTCATAAGAATTTCATAATTAATTGGTACTTCTAAACAAAACTAATAACCTCATTAAGGAAATTTTTTTCATGACTACTATTTAACTTCCTCAGACCTTTCTAGAATCAGCAAATTTATCAGAATAAAAAATTATTGATATTTTATCATTTTAACTGAAGCACAAAAAAAAATCTCAAAATGATTTCTAACATTTTTAAGTGGTACCTTTCACTTGTTTTTATTTACAAATGTCAAATTTGAATAGTGTTCACGTTGCTGATAATTGAACTGTGGACTCTACTATCTACTATTAGGAATTGTTTTTTTTTTTGTTGTAAATTTTTTTAATTTTTCTTACTTCTGATAGAACTTAAAACAATCAGAGAAGTGTCAAATCTGTTCAAAATGCATTAAGCTTATGCGGGAGCAGAGAGAAATATCTACCTATTGATTAACTTTTTCTCCTTGTAATGAACATTATCTTACAATATATGACATACAGCTTGCAACAGGTAAATATATCAATTACAAACAGAAAATGTTCATTAACAAATCTAAAAAAAGAAAAAAAAAAAAGAAAGAAAAAAAAAGCTATGCACATAATGGACTCAAAAATCATTTATTTGCATTCATGAAAATATTGTTTATCTATATTGAATTTCTAAAAATTTTCTACCCCTGACCAATTATTTTACAAATTTTTTATCAGCACACATAAGACTAGACAAATAAATTTTAAGGCAGATGCTTGTGGTTAAATAGGGAACAATAAACTGTGGTAGGTGAAAATACAGTTGAGAATTTGTTGATATAATATTACAACGTATCTCGATGAAGTGGGAAAAGAGTGTGCCCTTTTTTCAGGAGCTGAAGTGGTTCCTTTATTATGAAAGGAGCAAAGAGACAAGCACGGTCCATTTTGGGGCATGGAAATGGGAGCAACTTGAAAATTTGAGAAGTATGTAAATCCCTGGAGATAGGTGGCGTTTGATATCTAGAGCAGCACTGTGAAACATTCTCATACAACCTGTGGTGTGTGGCAAGGCACACTGTCCTGATAAAAGATGGCATTGTCATTATAGAATACTGTTACCATGAAGGGATTTTGCTGGTCTTCAAAGATGAGAAATTGGTAGGATATAATAAAGTACCTTCCACATAAATGATGGGATCCAGTTTTGCACAGTAGAGTGCTACCCAAACCATCACATTGCCTCCACTGATTTGTTTTCTCCCTCCTCACAGTGCACTCTGGTGTTATAACTTCTTCAGAATAACAGCATACATACATTTAGCTTGCTATTCACGTTATTCAGGAGAAATTGAAACTCATCAGACCAGGCAACCTTCTCACATTGATACAAGATTCAGTTCCAATACTTGCATGCATATTGAAGACATTTTTAATGATGAACATTGGTGGACATAGTTACTCTGGCTGGCCTGTAGCTACATATGAAAAAAGGATTGATTTACTGCATGTTACACATACCTTCCTTCACTTCAATTAAAGCTATCTATGTCACATTACATCACCATTCACTTCTGACATCAAATAAACCTGCCTTGTTGGAGATTATTTTGTTCTTGATCACCATCAATAGGTACTTACCACAACTGAACATGTGAACTCCACAACCCATGCCAGTTCAGAAATGTTCTGACCTAGTCTTCTGTCAATAACAATTTGGCCTTTATTAAAGTCCCATGGATCTTTCTTCTTGCCCACAACTGCAGTATTCAATAAATCAAAATGAAGTACTTGAGACTTGCTTACCTGTTTATTTCTGTCTCTGACATGTCAGTGGTCATAATATTTTGGTTCATCAGTGTATATATATATATATATATATATATATATATATGTAAATTATGTATATACTTACCTGTAGCTTTACAACCCCTGCCATCTGGTTTCAAAATATAACCTGTAGCACAACTACATTTATAAGAACCAGGATGATTTGTACAGACTTGACTGCAAGCACCAACCATTTCACATTCATTGAAATCTAAAACAAAAAAGCATTTAAAAAATTACGTTATAGTATTGGTCAATAAGTGAAGAAACTTATATCTAGGATAATTTGGGGTGGAGGGAGCAAGATCACTGAAAATATATCACATATTTTGGATGGCATCTTGAGAGATATACAGAAAAATAAAATCAAAGTAAACATTGGAGATAAGAAATATCAACAATATTATGATTCATAAAATTGTCTGATGCATTTTTTGGAAAGTGAGACAGGCAATGGAGACCCTCGGTTTGAAGTAATATTGAAAAAAGTCATATACCCCAGTTCAATTTTTTTTTCCTAAACCCTACATCATTCAATTATTTATGAAAAGGAGCATGATCTATGAGAAACATTAAAATCTCATTGGCAGCCCTGATTAATGGTATTATTTTTATATAATTTGCTATTCATTTAAATAGTGACAAAAACTTACATTTCAATTATTATTATTCATCATAAATTTGTACATGACTGGTGTTATTTTCATATAATACAATGACAGTGTCAGTTAAGCCAGCTTGTTCTTTTTTTATAAAAGAGAAAAAGTTACTAAATAAGATAAAATGTTAACAAAAAAATAATAAAATGAAAGAAAAGTCAAAATTTGATATAATTTTATCATACAAAGAAAAGAATATTATAAATAAAAAATATTTGCTTTTAAATGAAAATGACTTTTACAAATTTATGCTAAAATAATTTTGCATAAAGTGAGGATCTAAAATATCAAATTCTCTAGTCCAATAACATAATCCAATAAAAATGGAGTTAACCTGAATGCATTTAAAACCCTAAAAACTTACCAATATTTACATTCACATAAGGGATCTTGTATTTAAAGGATCATAGAAATTAACAAAATTCAAAGTTTTTATATGAACCAAAGGAATTGTGTGTATGCACGAGTGAAAGAAGAGGAAAATTGTAAAATTGGGCAATGGAAAATGATTTTTCATTGATAAAAACAAAATAAACACTTGCAAACTTAATTATTTTAAGATAAAAAATTAAAATAAAAAAAAAAAAAAATTTAGAAAAAAAAAAATATTTACTGAAGTACTAACATGAAATCAAAAATAAAACTGAATCCTGTGTTTAAGACCATTTCTAAAGTATTACAAGTTTTTTTCTTAAAAAGAACATCTTAAAGAGGAAAAATATTAGTCATGTCAAAAAGAGAATTATGGTATGGAGAAAAAATAATTTCAATTCTAATTGTATCACCAAAACTTCAATACTCTCCCTATACACACAGAAAAATAATCAATTAAAGAATTTGATTTTTTTTTTTTTTGCAAATTAGACCTCAAATAAAATATAGAAAATACGATTTTTGGTAGAAATTCATACTTATTTTAAAATTTAATCAAATTACTTATTTTACTGTTACTTCATAAATGCTTAATTTTTCCAATTCCAAGTCATGTTTGATATTTGAGGAGTTATATTGTCTTTTGTCATTCTTTTGTCAACCATAACTAAGTTCAATCTTTTAGAAAAAATGATACAAGAATATATTCTTGGCCCAATTTTTCTTGAAATGATCATATTGTTTAAAAAAAATTTTTTCTTTAAAATGTAAACAATTATTAACTTCCAATCATTTCTTTGCATCATTAATATATTTGGCATTGTTAATTAGTTTCTTAATTTTCTTTAGAAAAATTGAACAGTCCATATTTTCAAACTTGACAAAATGTTATTTTTTAATGGGTATCCATATTTTTACCAATTTTTCTGTCCATACTTATAAATATTTTGAATATACATTACTATCATAAAATATTTTTCATTCTTCTAACCTGATATATCTTAGCTTTTATTTCACTAAACTTATCAACTTGGTTTCTATTCAGTTCAATATAAACAAGAAAACTCATTTAATTTTTAATTATTTTAAATGTAAACATTCATAATATAATTATGCTAATTATTAAATCTAAAATTTCAAAAATAAAATATTTTACATAAAAATGTTACTAACCTATGCATGTTTTTCCATCTCTTTGGAGATGATAACCCATATAGCAACTGCAGCGTGCACCACGAGATGTTTGCAGGCAATTCTGATTACATCCACCATTGTTCTCTCGACAACTTGGTGGAAGATCTGAAAAAATAGATTTAATCAGTTACATAAAATATGTGTGTATATCATGAAAGAACAGAAGACATATTTCATAAAAAATTAAAACTTACTACAGTGCATTTCATCTGAACCATCAGGACATTCTGATAAGCCATTGCAAACTTTATTGGATCCAATACACTTACCAGAACGACACTGGAATTGGCCACTACTGCAGTTTTCAATATCTGGAATAATATAAAGTACAAATTATTAAAAAGTTATCCTTCAGTAAGAAAACACAAAATTGCTAAAGAAACATATAGACCATGACAGCTGATGATATTTTAATCAGTGAAGATCTTCCAAAACAATTATCTGCCATAAAATTGAAGCAAAACTTTATGCTAAGCCTAAACAAAGTGAAAAAAAAATGGCTGACAAACTCTGCAAAGATATCACTAAGAAGAAGAATTTGAAGAAAAAGTTTTAGGTTTCAAAAATTTAATTAAGAAAACTGTAAATAGAGAGTCCAAATTTTCTTTTTTCAAATAAAATTCTTAATTCCTTTAATAATGACTTCCTGGGGTCTAAAATTGGCTCTTTCCTTGACAGCCACCTGTTAAATGTGAAACTGTGCAGTCACTTTTATACTAATATACACATTTTATCAAAATATTTGTAACAGCTTGAAACACAAATGTTAAGGTGTAAAAGGATTTAAGAATTTTTCTCACATTAAAAAGAATAAAACACCTGTATGTGAACCAGTGTTTTTCATTAGTTTTATTCAAAAACATTACAGTAATTTATGTAAGAAACAAAATACATCTATTTCAACTGAGAAAGCAGCAATATTATATATCAAAAATTCCTTCAGTTGTATTAAATTCAACCAACAAGGTCTCCTTATAGTATTTTTTCAATTTTTATCCATTTCACATAAAGCTCTTTAAATATTGTAACATCTTAAGTTCCACAATCAGAAATCAACTGAAGAGACAAAAGGAGTAATGTAATTAATGAGCCAATTCAATTTACCAAGAGAGTGAAAGTTGCTTAATAACAGAGAATCGTTGAATGTAGTAGACCAATTATCCTACTCTCTTGCAACAGAAATTGAATTCAGGCTGGTTTCAAGTCTCTCAGCTTGCCAGAATTTATCCATGGCCCAGTTGTTCAAAGGTAGTTAAAGTTCTTTGTCAAATAAATTGTAGTAAAACCAAAATTTATTTCTCAAGTTTAATTCAGCAAAACATAGCAATACATCTGATGGCAATCTATATAACCTTTCATTAAGTAACAAATTCTATCTTTTTCACCTAAGAAAGCTGTAAAATATAAATACTTTTATCAGGAATGATGCTTAAAATCTTGCACTGAATAACTAAGAGTCTCATTACAACATGGAAGAATGTATAACAAATAAACAATATTACCACAATACTTAAGATATTTTTTCATTACTGTGGTAAAATACCAATGGCTATAATGAAAATTAATTAAGTCAAAACTTACCACAGTTTGCTTCATCACTGCCATCATCACAGTCAGCATGTCCATCACAATGCCAAGAAGACTCAATACAGTGCCCAGTGTGACACTGGAATTTCCGAGGACTGCAACTAGGTAGAGCTTTAAGAAAATTGATATATATAAAAAATCAGGTTTTGACAAATTTGTCACATAATTTGAATCACATCTCACCTTAATGAAATTCTCTTTAAAAAAAAAAAAAAAAAAAAAATATAAAAAATCTAATCTTTCAGAATAATCTAATGTCATAAGATTCTTAAAGAGAATTAATATAAATATGCAAAGCATCATAAAACATAAATTTTTAACAGATATAGATGCAAATAATCAATTCCATTAACAAAAATTATGAAGGAATCAGTTTTCTTAATTATGCATCTTATTTTTATTTTCTAATAAATTCAGATAATCCTCAGCCTTGAAATTTTGACATATTTTATTTGCATTTTATGATGGAACAAAAATTTTGTTACTGATCAAATTGTTATATCTTGCATTTTCTGAAGCAGATGTTTTTGAATAAATAAAACAGTTGAGAACAGAGAGAATGACAGACAATTAATAAAGTAGAAACAGTAAACAAAAATTAATTACTGGGACCAGAAAATCATTTAAAACATTATTAACACTTTATTGTAGAATTATTCCTTTTTATTTATTATATTGGTTACATTTTATAATACATATAAAACAGCCACATACACACACACATCTAACAAGAAAATTCTAAATAAATTCACTTTAAATGCTCAATTTGTAATATAAAGAATAAATCATTTCTTTTAATTGGTAATGAGTCTTATAATTTATCCTGATTTTTAGAAAACTAATGAAGGTATTCTCAGAAATATTTACACAGTTAATATGCAGGACATTTCTCATAATATATATAAATTATCATAGACTAAATGTCAGTCAAATGATGTGGCAACAGTTTTTATGAATTTTTTCTGGATTTTCCAAGTTTCACATTATTAGCCTTTTTACTGGAATATCAAGAAATGTCAAACTGTATGTAACTAATTATTAATATTACAGAACATGTACAAAGTTTACAAAGACAAACATTTGGACAAAATGGAAAACTGCAATTTTAATAAGAAAATTATAAAGACAATATTAATGTGAAATTTATCCTCTATGTTCTAAACCTAGTTTTAGAAGTCATTCACCTATTGATTCCTAAATTGTTGTGTTTATATGAAACAGATGACACAGCATCCAGAGTAGCATTCCAAAGTTTATCATTCTTGCGAACTTGCCATCCATCAACATAAGCTGCCTTCTTCAGAGTGCTCCACAAGTTTCCAGTATAGCTAAGATTAGGCAAAAAACTGTCCACTTCATCAAATGAGTGTCTTTGAAACCTATTTATTTAAATATTCATTAATTTTCTTCACCATATGTGATAGTGCATTGTTCTGTATGAAAATCACATTTCTGACACAGTTTGGCTTAGTCTTGAACTATGCCTCAGTGTGCACCTTTAAAATCTTACTATCTGAGCTATCATTTTAAAACCCTCTGGAATTTGCTATGGGTCCACCACATCAATACCAATAATCCCCTCTCCTCTACCTTTTTTAAGTCAACCTGGTTTCCACTAGTAGCCATCCAACTATTGTACCATCTGTCTGGCCCATCAAGGATAGCATGACATTCATCAATGAAAAGAGTGGTTGGAAAATCAGTCTTTATATATTCTCTTGACCATTTCATAGCTTGACAAAAACAGATTGTTATTACTTCACTTAATATGGACATAGATTAGTAAGTCTTCAACTTGCTTTTCTCAGCCTTGTATTGGACTTATCAAGGATATTTCATATGAATGGTTGTCATTTGTTTATATCTGTACAGAACAAACCAGCTTCCATACTGATAGATTTTGCCATTAACCATTATTCTGTTATTTTAGTATTCAACAAATATTTATATTCTATATCAATAAGACATCAATTGGCTAATCCTGTGAGACATTGTGTAACTTATTTCAGAATCAGGCTGCAATTTAAAGTGACAAAATAGAAGTAAACGTAATATACTTACGACAGTCAAACTCATCAGATTTCTCATGGCAATCAAATTCACCATCACATCGCCATGTGCCATTAATACAAGCTCCATTTTCACAACGGAATTCCCCTTTATGACACAAAGTGGCATTACCTAAAAAAACACAATGTAAAAATATAGTGAAGACATCCCTCATTACTTTTTTAATCTGAACAATAATAGATAAAACATTCAATATGATACATTGAAAATAAAATACTTACCACAATCAATTTCATCTTCCCAATCTCCACAATCATTCTGCCCATCACACTTAAGACGAGCACGAATACAACGACGACTACCAGGACAGTACATCTCATCAGACTTGCAGGTAATTTTTCGAAACTCTAAAAGATGTCAAAATATAATTTTAAGTAAAAAAATAACTTCTTCATGTAATATTTTGAATGGACATCTCCATTTAAAATTAGCTTTTAATTATTAACAAATAATTTTTAAAAACTAAACTTTTGAAATAGCTTTAACTTGCATAATTTTATATTCAACAAAATAATTTTTTTTTTAAATTTATAAAACAAAAGGAAGAAAACTTTTAAAAAAATCTGTGTCTATATTTTATATATATATTTTTGATATACTCTACAATTGATCTTTTGATATATAAGAGCCTAACAGTCATTTTTGTTTTTTTTTGTTTGGAATTGAACTGCTAGACTACTCTCACAAAAGATTTGATTACAGTAGTGAAGTCTTATATAGAACTGGCCACACTTTTCAGAACTGCTAAGAGAGAAATGGTGCATAGTGTGCTATAAATTCCACAATCAGCTCTTCTCAGGTTTGAATTGTTTTCCTTCACTTAGACTGGTTGTCAATCAGGACTACAGAGCCCATTTTGCCCTGCATTTAATCCATAGCTGGGAATTCAGAGGAAGACATGGATTCATATGTTTGCCAAGGGCAGAAATTTTAAACTATTTGTATTTATCCATATACCAAGAATTTAAATTTCAGAAGTTAGAAACTTATCTTTTGACTGTGCTACAAGGAACTCTTATATTTTCTTCTAATCAAAGGAACTTTATTGGAATGTGTTTAAATATCTTCATTTTAATTAATCTGTGCATTGTTACCCAAGAGAAATTTGCTAAATGTTCAATTTGTAAATTTTATATTTTTTCTTGTACAATAGTCTTGCTTTAAAAATCTAGTTGTCTTGGAAAATATTAAGCTAATAAGATGTTATTGTTGAAATATTTCATATATTAGAGAAACAGAGAGAGAGAGATTTTCAATCAGTCTGGGATGAGTTGTTATTTAGATTTGAACTAATGTCCTAATCTTTATTGATCACATTTCGGCCATTATACCCTCTGGTCTTCTTCAGGTATCTGTTGATCCAAGTAACATTCAATGAATTTCCAAATAACAAATAACCTAGTGGATTAAATCATTGGTTCATGAATTTGGTGAAATAGTTATTGTGAGTTCAATCCCTAGGTCAGGTAGTACCAACTTAGACTCAGCAGAATCAGAATGAACAAATATGACCAGTACTAAAAAAAACAAAAAAAACAGACGCAATATCTTTAGACATAAGTAGTGAAATGAAAACAATCTACTCAATAGATTAAATAAAAGGTTTAGTATTAAATTCCTTCAGGGTTATCCAGATCGACAGACAAATGAAGAAAGCCAGAGTACACAATGACTAAAACATGATAATATCAAAAATGAGGACATTAGTCCAAATGTAAATAATGCAAATATGTCTATTTGGTTACTTCAAATATTATAACAATGATTTTATATCAATCATCATTTTCTTATAAAAAATGTTTTACACACAGCAAGGCACTGGTAATTTGGCTAGTGGAAAATATTTCTGAACACAACAGAAAATGTGCTAAAAGTGCACTCAAAATTATAATTTCAGATAGATCTCAGATATGAAGAATTTAATCTTGACAACATTTTAAATTCATTCTTTCATAATATAGGAATAATTTCCATTAAATGTTCATCCAAATAGTCTGTTTTAGAAATCAGTATATGTTAACCAGGCAATTTCTATGCCAGATTTTTTTTTTTTACAGGAAAAATTATCATTATTATATACCTTATTCAGACTGCATACACATCTTGATTGTTATATTCACAATGTTTCAGCCATTGTACCTTCCAGCCTTCTTCATGAATCTCATCCTACTCAGTAACTTTCTTGAAATTTTTAACCAAATCCTTTATTCAAACTACAGTGTGGATGAAGTACATGGTTCTCATTCTGTTTTCTATACTTGAGGGATATTTCATATCAGTTAACACTCACCAGTTTTATTCACCTTTGAGTTGTTTATCCATTTCTTCCACTGGATCAGAGTAGTTGACTTTTCAGCACCAGCAGAAACACATGGCCTAATGAATTAAAACATTCATTAAAACAGTTTGGTTTCCTGACAGTTGGGTGTTCAAACCTTGGGTCTGGTAGTGCTGTAAAGTTACATACTTTAGTTCAATGAGATAAACAAAAAAGTAACAAAGTTGGATAAGATTGGTGAGTATTAATGCATAGAAAATCTACCCTCTGGAATTGAATAAAAGATTTGGTTCAAAATTTCAAGAAGGTGACTGAGTATGAAGTCACATGTGAAGAAGTCTAGAACATGCAATGGCTGAAACACAACAATATAAATATGTTGGTTCAAGTAATAATAATGTACACAGTATTTTTTTAAACTGGTATTCATATACAAATTGTGCTTTCTCATATTTTAGAGTCTTTGCCTGCTGAAAAGAAATAAGAAATTGCAAATTGACATGTCAAATAGAGCATTCAAAACTTAAAATAATGTCTCAAATTCTTATCAAAACTTACCACAATTAATCTCATCAATTTGATCTAAACAATCAACTTCCTCATCACATATCCAAGCCTTAGGAATGCATTTTCCATCTCCACATCGTATATCTGTTTGGCTGCACTCTTCTTGGTCTAAAATTTCATACAAAATTAAATACAGAGTACAAAAATTTCAACAATATCAAAAGGAGCTTATGAAATAAATTCAAATATTTAAATTTCAAAATGTTATAGACAATTTTTAAAATCATTAAAGAAAAAAATGAATAAAAAACAAACAGCATGAAAAGTCTTAATATTTCATAAAAATTGAAGTGTGTTTTTTTTTTTAACAAAATATGAAAATGGATGCAGGGAAGTGAAAATTAAAACAAATGCATCAGATTGTTATACATTCACAATTTCAAAAATATCCTTGACCATATATATATATATATATATATATATATATATATATATATATATATATATTATATTGCACAAAATGAATTTATATTTTTCTTTAAAATTCAGTGACTTACCACAATGCTCATCAGAGCCATCTTTACAATCATCATCTCCATCACATTTCCACTGGACTAAAATACAGCGGCCATTATCACACCTGAACTCCTCATCAGTGCAGTTCTTTGTCACTGAAAATGTTATAATTTGTCCATTTACAAATGCATATAAAAAAATTATAGAACATTAGACAACAGATGCAAAATCTCATTGAAATGTTTAAAAATATGTCAAAGTCAAACTTTATACACAAATTATATTATAGTGGAAAGAAAAATACTCATCTGCCCTACTCGGACAAGAACTTTGATACCATAGACTATTTATATTTGTACCTTGTCTAACTTCATAATACTGTAATATTAAGGCCTTATGATTTACTGAAAATAAAGTTTAAAAAAATTATTTTTTCTACAAGATACCTCAAAATTAAATAAAAGAAAAGGGGGTCATATTTTTGGAATCATTTTGAGGAAAAACAAAGGGAGATTTTAAGATGTAGTCAAACATTGCTCAAAGAAATTTCATGAATTAATGTTTTTTTCCAAATTTTACTATTGAATAACATTGTAGAAACTAATTGATAGTTTTTCAAATAGCCAATTTTATATCTTATTTTTTTAACAAATTATAAAGTTCAGGGTAATAAATATTTTGCTTTTAAATTAACATAGAAAATTAAAAATTGCAATTTTGACATTAAAATCTAGAAGAAATTGTTTTTGTATAATAAAAGCATCATGACAAACATATTTTGACATTTTTTACAATTTGTACAAAAGTAAAAGTTCACTATCAAAGAGAATAAAATATGATACACACACTAAATTATATATATATATATATATATATATATATATGAGAGAGAGAGAGAGAAAAATGTGTGACCTTGTAGTTATGCTCTCTGTCCTCAAATCATTAAAATCAAAATAAAAGTCTCATAGTAAAATGTTGCTTTTAAAATCAACAATGTTTACAAAACATAGTTCATCTGTACAGAAAATATCTTTAGAACCAACGCATGCTATTTTTAGTATAATTGCAAAAGTTGGTTTTATGTTGCAACATTTATGCAGAGCTTCAGACAAATAATGCAATAAGATTCATTTGCATGTCTTAAAATATGCTAGCTGATTAAAAAGAGGTGTTTCCATATTTTTAAAATTTCTGAGACCAAAAACTTTTAAAATATAATTTTCTAAGATTCCATTAAATTATATATTTTATAAATGAAAAATAAATAATCCTTCTCAACATTCAGAAAATATTCAAATTGAAAATTTGAAAAACAATGTATTTGGTATTCAGTTAAGAATTAAGAACTTACTGCAATCAAGTTCATCACTGTCATCCCCACAGTCATTGTCTCCATCACATTGCCAGTCTTTCTTTATACATTTGTGATTAGAACAAGTAAATTGGAGACTGGAACATGATGGATGCTCTGAAAAAGAAAATCAAACCCAATTTTAAGGGAATCAAGCATTGACCTTTCAATAAAATAACAAAGAATTTATAAACATTTTCAAATCTAAACAACTATTCTTCATCACCTAGAATAACATGTATAAGACATTTTTCAAAATTTCCAGTTTTTTACAAATTCAAGTCTCTTTCAAAATTAAAATACTTTTAATCTCTGCAATTTTATTAAACAACTGAAGTACATATTGGACAAGTTTGTGACAAAAAAAAACTAAATAAAAAAAAATTGATAGATACAAAAAAGAAAATATGTAAAATAATGAAAATAGTTCATTACAGGACCACAGACAATTTACATTACTAATTATGTTAAAGTAATTATTAGAATCTTTAATTTATGTACTGATGATTTCCCTTGGTGTATGTGTGTGGGTTAAAAAAAATTAAAATGAAACTACACAAAGAGTTGATAACTTTAGTAGTAAAGAAAAGAAAAAACAAATCTTGCAAAGACGTAAATTTTAAAGCAGATAAGCAAAGTCATATTTTGAACCTAGTTTACTATTTGGCACAAGTTTGTTTCTCATCAATAAAATGTTGCATTTGATAAAAAATGTAAATAAATGTCTCTCTAGCAACTTTTTTTAAAGAATGTATTCCTTAGATTAACAAACCAACAATTTTTTGCTCCTATTTGGTATGATAATTAACTGGGATCATTATCCAGAGATATTTCTGAAGACAAAAATATTTCCTTCCCCTTTAAAAGAAAAAAGTAATTCCTCTAAAACAGAGGAGAGATTGATCAGTCCTAACTTTTGCCAAAATCTCAATAAAAAATTATTGGGAAGGAATAAATTAAAGGTAATTATTTTTTTTCCTTGGGTCATCAGAACTGGTAGAAAGAACAAAACAAATGCTAACAAAAATCCAAATTCAGATTGAGAAAAAAAGGAACAGGAATTAATAAAAAAAAAAAAAATGAATTAATAACTGCAATATTTTACTCTTTTGCTCTCCAAGATAATCTTTTAAGTTTAAAATTACATCTGTAAAGATAGAGAATAGAGGAAGAATTAGCATTGTGAATGTAATAAGTTTGATCTCCATCTGGAGCTCCATTACACCATTGTATCAGACTAAACTAAAATTCATAAACATCTAGATTATCTTATGACCAGTTTTAATCCTTTTGCCAGAGCAAATAGTCACAGGAATTTGAGAAAAGATTTCTACTACAAGTGTTGCTAATCGAAAGCTCCCCGTACTTGATACCAAAGGAGGTTTTCATGGTCATCAGGATTTGCTTCATTTCAGAGCTTGATGTGAGCTTCCACTACTTAGTTTGACTGGTTTACTGACTATCAACTACTTTACACTCTTTCAGGGATCATTTCTGTAGCTGACTTTCATAATTTCTTTTAAGCCAGATCCAATGGCTCATCTTTGCAGTTGCTGTTTAGATATCCTTTAGGGTGGTGCTTACTTTTCTCTATTCAATTCTAAAGAATCCTAGCCATCTCCACAAGTCCATGCTAATATATCCTCTGCAGCCAACCTCAAAAAAGAAATTTTTCACTTGCCATCACATGTAAAATTGGCTTTTTATTACAACTATCATCCATATTATTTAATCATTTTCATTTTTTTTATCTAGTGTAAATCAGGATTCAGTTATCTGTAGCTTTTAACTTATTGATAAAATAATTTTCAAAATAAATTTATGATTTATCAGGAAACTACAGACACTGAACATTCTGATTAAAAATAAGTTTAAAATAATTAAAGTAATAAAAAAAAATTTAAATGAAAAACAAGAGCAGCCTAAGTGGAAAAGAAAATATAAAGATAAAGAGTTACAACAAAAAATCCTGTTGTATCTCATGAAAATTCTAAAAAGCTAAAAGAAAATTGTATTATTATCTTAAGAATTTCTGTTTGGAGATTCTTAATTTTGTTTCTTATAAATTAGAATTCAATGAAGATTTATCTCCAAATTTTAATTTTTAAGGGTCAAAACTGGAAAATGAAGTTGATTGTTTATAAATGACTAAGATCTGTTCTTGCATTTAGGAATCTTTATCTTGAATATTAATTTTGTTGATACTGTTCCTTTCAAAACTTAGCAACAACAAGCCCTCATAAAAATCTTTTATTAATTATTGATGTTTTATCACCAATGTTAAGGAGTAACAATAAGAATCACAAGTATAAAGGAACTGATACCAAAAAGTAATTCATTTTTTTGGAAGATTATGTACAATGGTTAATTTGTTATCTTCTGTACAGTGATGGAGATATGGGAGGATACAGGGAGATAATGTTCTGCTTTTAATTTCCAATTTATGCTCAATTTTTACATGAGTAGAGAGTTAGCCTTCTTTGAACATTGAGGATTGGCACTACAGAATCACAAAACTATACCAGATAATAGAAACTATATCATTTGAGGACATATAACAGCTAAAATGATATCATATGTAACACAAAGAGACAATAATGAAATAAGATATTGACATTCCAGGCTACTTCAAATAAAATGTTAGCAAGAAAGCCCCCATCAATACCTAAAAGAGTGATAACACCTATTTGCTTTAAGAGAAAGATTTTATAAATGTCAACAGACAGCAGCACTGGCTGCTCAGTCAAGTAATGCCAAATGTTTCCTTATAAAGAAACAATTACAATTACTATTATTGGCTATCCAAGTTTATACCGATTAAAATTAACTTGTTCATTTGCTATTATTATCTTGAATTGACCTTAAATGAATCAATGTGTTATATCTACAATCTGGAAACAAAAATAAAAACTATTTCTCATCATAAAAACTTTGGTGATGACAAACAATTCTTGTACATGAACTTTTACTGAAAACTTTGTTACCCTGACTTGTGAGATTCCCATTCTAAGAGGAAGAAAGCTACTCTGATGCTTTTACTGCAAAGTATATTATCTACACATATTATATACTGGTGTGTTGTGCTATGCCAGTGACACCATAGGGTTAGGGAGTGAAGAAAAGAAAGTGAAGGAGAAATAAAGTAAAAGAACAAGACTGAGATAAAGAGAAGGCAGTAAAAGAAAAAAAACTAACAGAAGATCAACAACCAAGTGAACATTGAACTCCCATTCTTTAGTTGTAGTACAACTTTCCATTGAACACAAACCACAAATATTATAGATACACATGCATACATGTGCATGTGTGCAGATGTGTGTATGTATGCGTTATATAGGAATAAAGTGTTGCTGCTGACACTTGAGTTTGAATATAGATCACCAGTGAGCAAACACAGGCAAATCCCATTATTGAATTAAGCAAACCATATTCTTATTGTTCTTTCTCTGCACACAAATTGTTTATTCCCAATAAAGATTACAAATTAATATCTTTCAGCATAAATTAAACTTTGTTAAGATTTCAAGTTTGTTTTCATGTTATGCCTTATCAAATGCCTTTATATAATCTATGAAACATAGTTATTTACATTATTTATATTGTTCAGACTTGTCCTCATCTTTATTGTCATATTCATGACGTTTTGACCATTGTGCACTCTGGCCTTTTCAGGTGATTGGAATTTCAAACTGAACCCTTTATTTCATTCACCGGAGTAGATTGTTCTATTTCCGCATGCCATGCCTCTTCCAGATGTCTCAGTTATCTCTCTTTAACTTAAAGTTTTTCATAATGACAGTAGCAAGGTATTGAACTCACAACGCTTTGGGTCAAGTCATGGGCTCCAACCAATGCTTTTATCCACTGTGCCATGTGTCCTTCCAGTATCTTTAACAAATCCTTCAACACTCTTGCACTATTTCTAGTCTGATTCTGCTACAAGCTCTATTCATGAGAATACTAATGATTATTTGTTTTCTTATATGACTCATCAAGTCGATTTTCCAATGGAGTTTGAATTCTTTTTTACCTGGTTCTTTTCACAGTACTATGAAGGTTGACCTACTGAGGTCTCCCAGTATTTCACCACTATCATATTTATAATTTCAGTAAATTTATCATTCAAAATCATCTAAGGCTATCAGCATCTATTACAATCTTTTCTGGTTTTACTACTTTGTTTTTCTACATATTAGACAGTACCAATCTTACTTCAAATTTTAATAATATATGCCCTTCCATAGCTTTCTCTCCTCTGTTGTCATAGAAGAGCTCTCCAAAAGATTTGTCCCATTTCTATAGTATCTTTTCTTTTTCTATTATAATTGTTACATCTTTAGATTTCATGCATCTTGTTGAAAAATCTGTAGTTTTTCTATCTCTGAAGTTAGAGATTTTATATTTGTTCATCACTACAACTGCATATGTTTGTTTGCAAACTGAATCTTTATGGATTTCTTTTTGCATTGTAATTTAAATGTTACTTTAATTTTATCCTTAGATTGCATATGAATGAAAGTCATTGCCACCCCTACCCATTTAGTACTAAGGTATATTTTAGAGTGTAGTATTGCATTTGTTGTTGATTAATCCAATTAATTAACATTAAAAAACTCAAATGCATTCAATTTGTGTAGTATCTATATTATATAATATCCACACATAATGATTAGCAATGCACATTATTGTCAGTGTTATGACTGATGAACTTAATAGAAACAGAATTTTGTTACATTAAACTTGATAAACTGCATAATTTACTTAACTTTACTTCAACATTAGTTTAATATTCAGGAAATATTGAACACAAACAAGCTAAAGTTGTGCATTATAATGTTTTGCTTATTACCATCATTTTTTAATGAAAAGGCTAAGCCAGTTAATAAATAAAATTTAAATATAAAAAATGCAGTAGTTTATTTGCCTACTTAAAATCATTGATTTTATTTTCATTGCTAAATTTTAGGGTTAGGTGTTGGCCTTTTAAAAGTTATATAAAAGTTACATGCTACATTCCTTACTAAATGCAGAAAGTCATGTGTTTTTGTTTTGTTTTTTTAATAAAAAATGTAATATTTTAATTTGTATTAATGAATAAAGGGTGTGTGTGATCTATT